AAAAAAAAAAAAAAAAATTGAACTGTGAGGTGGCACCTGTGGCTCAAAGGAGTAGGGCGCCGGCTCCATATGCTGGTGGTGACAGGTTCAAACCCAGCCCTGGCCAAAAACGGCAAAAAAAAAAAAATTGAACTGTGACATTCTCTCCCACCTGTCATTCCTACTCAGAAGTCATTATTATTATAGCATAGAATAAAGCTACATAATCAAAGGGAAATGTATGAGGTTTGATTGGTTCCTAGACTGAGAAAGAAAGATAAAGCTTTAAGATATTTCTTAGAACAATTAGGGAAATTTGAAAGTGAACTGATTATTATTGAATTGTGGCTAACATTCTTAGTGTGATCGTAATCCTTAATCTTAGTAGAGGCATGCTGAAGTATTTAGGGGTTAAGTGCCATTAATATTAATTTCAAATAATTTAGTCTACATATATAGCTATATATGTATATATATAGTATAGCTATAGTGTATATATATACTATATATAGTATAGTATATATGGTATAGTATATAGTATATATAGTATAGTATAGCTATAGTGTATATATATACTATATATAGTATATAGCTATATATGTATATATATATAGTCAGTATATATGTAGCTATATATATGTATATATACTGAAACTAGGATTATAGGCACTTACCACTATATACAGCTTTTATGTATATATGTATATAAAATATATAACTGGTAAGTGATAAAGCAAATGACAAAATGTTAAATGATGAATCTCCATTTATATAACATCTGTAAAATGAGAGTTACTGACATGGAGAACAAATTAGTGGTTGAGAGTGGGAATTAAGTGTGTATGGCTATAAAAGTACAACAGGAAGGATCCTTGTTTTGATCTTAAGTATATCAGTCATTGTCAATATCCTGAGTGTGGCTTGGCGCCTGTGGCTCGAGTGGCTAAGGTGCCAGCCACATACACCTAAGGTGGTGGTTCGAATCCAGCCCGGGCCACCAAACAGCAATGATGGCTGCAACCAAAAAATGGCT